CGTTGAAAGTAAAAAAAAACACCTCATCTTTTTAGGTATTCCAAACCAGTACCTTTCTCTCAACCTTTCTTAAAGAAGTGATTTAGATTAGGAAAGATAAAAACTTAATAGTGTGTTTTAAATACCCTGCTTCAGAAACAAAATACAGTAATACCTTGGTTTGCGAGCATAATTCGTTCTGGAAACAAACTACTCATATTGGAAGATATCGCTCGTTTACCATGTTAAAATGTATTAGAAATGTTTGCTCATCTTGCAGAGCTTTCGCAAACCAAGTTGCTTGCAATCCAAGGTTTTACTGTATTAAAAACTTATAAAAGCCAACGTCTAAAGAAAATGAAACCCTAAAGTACAATTGAGCCAAATGAGTGCTTCAAGCAGTCTATGAGCTCTAACTTAAATTGTGATGAAGCACTAAAAAATAAATAAATAAATAAATTGTAAAGAGAGAAAACTTCCAAAAATATGGGTCTAATGTCAATTCTGTAGTGAACATAAATACTGTTTGCTTAGTAGTGGATGATTCTGAAATTAAGATCCATTTACAATTTCAGAAATAATTATATAACACCTAGCTGTCAGTATGTATAAAATGTCTCGTTAAATAACTGCCATACATCATAGAACAATGTTGTAGCCTTGACAGATTGGCTACACTCTTTAAATGAGAAGGGGCGGGGGAAGCTTATAGTAATTATATGACTTATTTCCTGAGTTAATTCCTCAAAAGGATGTACCACACTTAATGGCAGTCTTTTCTACCACGCTTTATCCAAAGTAATTTATGTGAAAACCACTCACAGGGATAGGGCTGTGGGGCACCATTTTAATAACTGGATGCGTAATTTGTGCCACCGCATGCATATATCATTTCATCGAGCGCATGATTATGAAGTCAGCTCTGACAGAACAGGGTTTCATTGCAACAGGAGATGTGGATACGGGCGTGGAGTTAATCTACTGCAGTTTTCAGCACACTGGTCCTGCTTTATTGACATTTTATCCATGCTATTAGTGTTGGCATGTGTCTGGTTTCTGCACTGTTGGCACAGCACAGATGTTCAAACTGAGCACTGGACTTCTAAGTTAATATATGGAGACCACACAATTAGAATCTTCTTAGCAGGTGTCCAGTGGTTTTACACATGATTGTCTTGAGGAAGTACGCTCTTTGCAACACAAATCTAGTCTAGCAACATTGCTTTTTGTTCTGTGCAGATAACGCAGTGTTTTTAAATGTTATGGTGCTAAAAATAGGGAATAGTTTAAGTATTGAATCAGAATTAAAATAAAGGACAGGGTGAGATTAGAAAACGGAATGCCCAGCTAGTTGAAACAACAGTAATCAGTGTATATTTCTCCATCAACTCTTGGTAGCAAAATATAATCATTGTGTTTGGCCCCATTTTAATTCCTCTCCTCAACGTTTATGTCCGTATGACATTAATGATCATTCCAGCTCTGCATAAAGTGAAGAGACCAGGAGGTAACCCGTTAGCCAGATAGAGCCCGTTTATATTTGGGCTTTGAAACACTTATTTGAATGCTGATTTATGAATATTTATTCTTGGCACCCAGTTTATATTTAATTTTTGTTCTCAATGTGATTTAAAAGTGATTGGTAGCAATGGAATGATTTTCAAAGGTAGACAGGAAAGGGTGGAAGGAAAGAAACACAGGGTCTGCTAATCCAGCAGGGAAATAATTGACCCGTGAGTAATTATAAGTTGGCTGGAGTTGTGGAAACAAGACTGCCCCTCATGTGATGGCAGCCTCAAGTCTCCTTTGTAGTTTTTGGACATGAGGCAAGGAGCCAAATGTTCTGTCTAAACTGTTTGGGAATTGCTTTTAAGTTCAGCACTCGTAGAAAGGTATTATGTGACAAGTTATTGCTTCAGTGCCCTCAAATGGCACTGCGGCCTCAACGAATTAGAGCCTAAATTAGAACTGTGGGCTAAGAAGTGGTTCTAGACTGGTTTTCCGCCTCCATCATTTCTATGTCAACATATTCCCTTTAGTAACAAGTCTCTGGCAGGAAGGGTAGTTTGAAAAAGCTCCTGTTCCCCCACCTCTGCCCCTCCGATTCACCCCACATACACACGTTCTACGTATATGTGTATGTATACTGTATATGTAAGTCAATTACATAATGACCCAGCAATTTCTTCCTCGCCAAGTCCAGTTTTAAGCCATAACCTTGTGAAATGAGCCCTATCATGGTAGCGCATGGATTGAGGATCTCCATAAAATGTGCCATCCTTATTCTATTGAAGATCAATTATGGTATGGAAACATTCATTTAAGGAGCCACTGTTTCCATCACTGTTATCATGGGGGAGATCTGCCAGGTCCAAGGAGGTTCTCATTCAAATGCCACAGAGGCAGTCTTTATAAATAATATACAGATATTCTTTAAACAAGGAAAAGGGCTTCCAGTCCATGTAAGGTTTGAAAATCAGTGCTTATCAGGGGGCCGGCCGAGTGGCGCGTTGGTTAAGAGCTGGCTTGGGATGCCAGAGGCCCCGGTTTGGATCCCACATATGAGGGCCAGTGACACTGCCCTCTACAGCTAAGATGCTGAACAACAGCTCAACCTGGAGCTGGGCTGCCGTGCGTCACCGGCGACGGCGTAGGCTGCAGCCCCTGCTGCAGTGGGTTGCCATGGGCTACCGTGTGTAGCCAGCAGCCAACGTGAGCGGCCAGCAGCCATCCAGAAGCCGGTGACTGATCTGCCTCGCCCGGGAAGAGCGCAATGATGGTGCCAACTTGGGCCAGTGAAGCAACGTCCTCCACAACTAGACTGAAGAACAAAAGGACAGCAACTTGTCTGTTCCCCTTCCTCCAATTCCCCAGCGCTGTTCCCATCCCCCAATTCCCCAATAAAATTCTAAAAAAAAAAAAAAAATCAGTGCCTATCATTAACCCCATGTGGAGATTACCAAAACATATTTGTATATTCCAGAGATTTGAGATATTCTCCAGTAAGGAGACCTGTTCAACTTAAACTGAGGCTTTCCCAAATTTTCTGACCATGGGACACTTTGAGAATATTGCTAAATAATTTTTATTTTTCTTCTTTCAAGGGCTCAATAACATGTAGCAGGTAATTTTCCTGTTCACCATTTTTCTCTAGGGAATACTGCTGAGTGTCAGCCATTGACCTAACACAGCCCACAGCTGTAACACCCAGCCTTTCAGCTTTCGAATGCAGCTGGCATTTTAGAGGGAGCCTCAGACACATTGATAAAACACTTTTTTTTAATTAAAATTCTAATATATTACATTATAACGAGATTACACTGGTTACTTTTTTGTTTTTAGAAGGGCACATTTTCTCCCAGTGGGAAGATCTACATAGAAAGTCAAATTATAACCACCAGTTAGCTTGGAGAACATGAAATTTTGGAGAGAGTGAGCTGACTGCATGTTCTGAATAGCCATCAACATCCAGTTGCCATGATCTTTGCATTTGTCTCCACTGAAGGACAGATATGTCCCAATAACTGGACATGGTTGTTCCTAAGACAATGCTAGAGATATTTTTTCCTTTTGGTTTGCCTCCATGGCTCTCAAATTCTATTTCTTATTTCATTATATTTTCAACAAAAAATAATAGGTGCACATAATTTTTTTTTAAAAATGTCTTTAAAAAAAATATGCCTCTTGCCCCATCTTTTACTTTCTACCTTCTAGAGCTAATCTCTACAGAAATCCTTTGGCTATTTCTTTGGGTAGTCAAATCTACATTATATGCCTGTATAATTGATATGCCTCTTTCTTAATGTGCTAGTTTTGTACATTATCTACTGACATCTTATTCTTGTGGAGGATTTTGTTTCTTTATTTCCCTCATATTTGTATCTGTCAGGATTGCATCACAGGAAACTGAAATAGTTCTAGCTATTTCAAGTAGAAAGACATTTCATGTAGAGAATTAAAAAGGCAGAAAATTATTGGAAGGGCTGGAAGAACAGAACCTACCCTGGAGTTCCAGGGATAACTCCTCAAATTAGATAAGATTAGTTGGCAGAGTGTTTTTAGTGAGGTATAATTTACATACTTTTAATGTGACTAATTCAATGAGTTTTAACATGTCTATATGGTTGTATAACCATACACCATCACTTTCAAGATATAAAACAGTTCCATCACCCCCAAAACTTCCACCATGGCCTACCCACTCTCCTTTAGCCCCTGATAACCACTGAGATCTGGATATTGCCTGGTTGTGTTTCCAATTTGCAAACCCTAAGACCCTTGAATATTTATCATTTCTGTTTAGGTTGCCTTTTCTACAATGTCATATAAATTGAATCATATAGTATTATGGTCTTTTGTATCTGACTTCCTTCACTTAGCATAGTGATTTTGAAATTTATTTATTGTGGTGTGTTTATTAGTTGCTGATTAGTTTTTATTACTGGGTAGTATTTCATTGTATGCTGTACTGTAATTTGCTATCCATTCACCCATTGAAGGATATTTGAGTTGACAGTTTTTTACCTTTATGAAAATGAAGCTGCTGTGAACAGTCACATAGATTTTTTTGAGTGGACATATGTCTTCACTTCTCTTGGATAAATTTCTAGGCGGGGGATTGTTGAGTTGTGTGGTAAGAACTGACAAACTGTTTTCTAGAGCAGCAGTACTATTTTGTATCCCCATCAGCAGTGTAAGGAGTTCTGTTGTACCATGTCTTCAACACTTTGTACAATCAGTCTTGGGGTAAAGTCTCCTCAACCTAGTTTCCCTGATTCCAAAACGGTTATGCCTTCTAGATCTGCAGTTGCATGGCCAACCCCATGCTCAGTCCCCTATGGGAGAACAATGAATGATATATGTTTGGATCTACTAATCAGTGATGTCCAGGATGAATACAACCTCCAGTGTTGAGCTGAACATACTGATGGATACAAAAAGATCTTTAATCATGGTCTTGACTTGACCCTAACTGGGTTTTAAATAACAGATAAAACCATTTTTTTATGGTTCTCTCTCAGGCTCTTTGACCATTCCATGGAAGGATTTAAAAACTGGGAGTTCATGACCATTCACTGCTGGGGAGAACGAGCTGCTGGTGACTGGATCCTTGAAGTCTACGACACGCCCTCTCAGCTGAGGAACTTCAAGACTCCAGGTGAGAACTTTCTTTCTATAACTTGGGTTGCTGTGTAGAAAAAAATGATGGAATGTATTTTGGCCAAGGAAGGTTTCACACTCATATATCAACATCATTCTTTTTTATGTGATCCTGTGTTTTGAGTTGTCTGCATGTATCCCAGTTCTCAAGATTATGATTTCAGAGGTAATCATTTAAGGATAAGAAATCTTTATAGGTGCAAGATAAAACATGACAGCTATTGATGTATATTTCAGAATATAGATCCAAATCTCCAACCAGCTTTTCTTACTTTCTTTATCCATAAACAAGCCAGCCATGTCCACCTGCAATGGATTAAATAGCCTGATCACAAGAGGAGACACGTTTCCTCAGTTGTCTTTTTTATGAGTTTACTCTACATTTAAATCTCAGAGCAGGCAAGATACTGAGCTGACCTATGCCTGCTAAACTGGTTAACACTAACAAAAAGGAAAGATGGTATTCTGTCCCACGTGAACCTAAGAGCTAAGGAAAAAAAAAAAAAACCTCGATAGGCAAAATATAGAAATTACGATGTTGGCAGAGGTCTTTTCAGATGGTCTCAGAGTCTTGCTGCTGCTTATGTCCTATTTCCCTCTTCATGGAAGCTTGTTTGTAACCTAAAAAAAAGGAAAAGTACAAATACAGCATGGGGTGGGAGATTGAACAGTTTCTTGCAGTAGCCTATGTTGCCTATGATGGAGCCCTATGGAGTACTTGGCTCAGTAACAAATGATCTGTTTGATAACTAGCCCAGTTTCCCTGCCCAGCAGCTGTGGACACATCTTGAGTTGCCTGAAAAATTCATGCTTCTCAATGCTCTGTACAGTCCATCTGCAGAAGAATCAGACCCGAGAGTGATTTTAGGACTGACATTCGATTCTAGCCCTCTCCTGATGGCAGAATAAATTAACCCAGACATTCTGTAATTAGTTGTAAAGGTGTGTACGATTCAGGTACAGTGGGCTGCATAGGGAGGAGGCACACAGCAGAACAGAGAGGTGAACACAGGTGCACATTTACTAGACTTTTGTCCACCAGTTACTCATTCTGACAGAACCATTTTTTAAATTAATTTCAGGTGTAAAACACAGTGCAAATAGTTATACTTGTTACCCCTCAAAGTGACAACCCCCCTCCCCCAATCCACCACCCCACTCCCCCGCCCTCTGCCAAAATCATACATATCTATTACAATTCCATTGACTC